ATCTCGCGTCTGTACTGCTTGCCCCTGAGGGAGACCCGGATGCCCTAGACATCCCGACTCCGCGTTCTTACGCGGAGGCCGTAGAGGGTCCCTACTCCTCTCAGTGGCAGGCAGCTATGGATGCAGAGATGGCTTCCTGGAAGTCCACAGGCACCTACGTTGACGCGGTTCCCCCTCCCGGGGCGAACATCGTCAGTGGCATGTGGATCTTCAGGGTGAAGCGGTCGCCGGGCTCTCCACCTGTCTTCAAGGCACGGTACGTCGCTCGTGGCTTCAGTCAGCGGCAGGGAGTTGACTACTTTCAGACCTTCTCTCCCACCCCGAAGATGACTACTCTTCGGGTGCTGCTGCACATAGCCGCTCAGCGCGACTACGAGCTTCACTCTCTCGACTTCAGCACTGCGTTCTTGCAGGGTAGCCTGCACGAGGAGATCTGGCTTCGCCGTCCACCTGGCTTCACTGGGACTTTCCCTCCTGGTACCCAGTGGAGCCTCCGACGGCCAGTCTACGGTCTCCGCCAGGCACCGCGTGAGTGGCACGACACACTGAGGACTACGCTTGCGGCCCTTGGGTTTGCTCCTTCTACTGCTGACCCGTCGCTGTTTCTTCGCACCGACACTTCCCTGCCGCCGTTCTACATCCTCGTGTACGTTGACGACTTGGTCTTTGCCACAGCGGACACTGCTGGACTCGCCTACGTGAAGTCCGAGCTGATGAAGAGACACACGTGCACAGACCTGGGTGAACTGCGCAGCTACCTTGGCTTGCAGATCACTCGGGACAGAGCACGCCGTACCATTACCTTGACTCAGTCACACATGGTGCAGCAGGTCCTTCAGCGCTTCGGCTTCACGTACTCCTCGCCTCAGGCCACTCCTCTGCCTACTCGCCACTCACTCTCAGCTCTGCCTTCGGATGAGTCCGTAGAGTCGAGTGGTCCGTATGCAGAGCTTGTTGGCTGCCTCATGTACCTGATGACCTGCACACGACCTGACCTTGCATACCCTCTGAGCATTCTTGCACGCTATGTTGCTCCTGGGAGACACAGACCAGAGCACATGGCTGCAGCGAAGAGGGTATTGCGCTACCTGTGCAGTACGTCGGGCATGGGGCTAGTGCTTGGGGGGCGGAGTCCAGTGGTCCTTACCGGCCACGCGGACGCTTCTTGGGCTGACGACCAGGCTACGCAGCAGTCGTCACAGGGTTACACCTTCAGCCTTGGTTCCGGCTCTGTCTCGTGGCGGTCTACTCGCTCGTCTTCGGTTCTCGGCTCCAGTTGTGAGGCTGAGATCTACGCCGGGGCCATGGCTGCACAGGAGCTTCGCTGGCTCACCTACCTGCTGACTGACCTTGGAGAGCCACCTCGTTCTCCTCTAGTGCTGTACGTAGACAACAACGCCATGCTGGCCTTGTGTCGAGAGCAGCGCTTGGAGCACAGAACGAAGCACATTGCTCTCCGCTACTTCCTTGCTCGTGAGCTGCAGCAGCGTGGTCAGTTGCGACTTGCGTACGTGGCCTCTGAGGCCAACACTGCTGATGTGTTCACCAAGGCACTCGCGCCTTGTGACCATCAGCGCTTTTGCACCCAGCTGGGTCTTGTGCCTGTCTTGCCTCACTTGCTCTCCTCTTGACTTTACTTGTACTGTGACATATATATACCTGCTCTTGCTTGTCTAGTTTTATATATATATGTCTGTACTCCTGCATGTGAACTGGCCTCTGGCCCTGCTCTTGTGCTCGGACTGTGTGGTGACTTTGTGATCCACCCTGAGCTTGCTCTGCTTTGCTTTACTTGACTGGTCTTGTGACCCCTTGTTCTCCCCCACTTTGCCTATGGGGGTGTGTCAGATTTATATGACATATTTGCTGTAGGCTATAGTGGGGTAGCACATATGGGGTACAGGGTTTCTAGGGTTGTATTTGTACCCAATCTTTCCTTAGTCATTTCATTCCTGTTCATTCTTTTCACATATAACAACCAGATATGTGAAAAATAGCTTCGCAACCCTAAGACGATTACGTCGCCTCTTGTTTTTTTTTTTTTTAGCGAAAGCTTTATACAAAAGGATGTACAAGCAAAACACTCAGTCGTAACTGAGCCACGCAAACTTTGTTGTTCACTAAGGAGAAAATTGGCTAAGTGTTGAGAAAGACATAGATTTGGCACACACAGAAAATTCACTAGAATAGATTGAAAATAGAATACAACAAGGGGTGAAATAGAAGCTACCCAACCAATGAACAATGCAGAGAACGTTCGCCCAAGAACGTTTACATAACTACTTTTAGCTGCGCTTTGCCAACTCAGCGTTGGCAGGTGAAAATTTCAACACGTGCTTAGTAGGTAGTTTTTACCTACCTAAAAGTAGTTGTTTTAGCTGTTCAGGTTGTTTTAAACAACTTCTATTACGCTCGTTTTGTTAGAACGTAATTGTATACATTACTATAACTGTCTGTAGTGTAGACCTAATGTAGTTATATTGCTTTCATGTTAGGTGGTGCACCCTTTTCCTTCACTATATCTTGTACAACTTTCTATAGTGAAACCCTCATTCTCCTTCTCAAACTTGCTCGATACTTTCCTTCAACTCGATCTTCTCCTACCTCACTAGCCATGGCTCCTAAGTCACGCTAGTTTCTTGACACGTTTTCGTAGTTACGAAAACGTGCGTCAGGTTCAGTTTGCTCAGGTAGTTCAATTCGCCCCCAGATTGATACCCCAAGTTCACGCACTGTTTCTGGGGGTCAACTTCTCAATGTCTGCAATGTTCCGAAATTCCCACGCAAAAGTTCCGAAACGATCGCGTTTTCGCGTCGAAGAGGTTCGTCGGTCGAGAATGTGCTTCTCTGCAGAAATCCGTTTCTGCAGACGCGCCCTTCTGTGCAGAGCTATTTCTGCAGATGCGCACTCTTCTCCAGATGCGTACTCTTTTGCAGCAGAACCTTCTGCTTCTCCGAACTCCCTCTGCTGCAAAGTTCCGCGTAATCCTCTGCAGCATTCGCTTCGGCGGAATTTCGCTCCCCTGCAGAAGGCGACGACCATCTTCTGCAGGGTCAATGCCAGCTCAACAGGGAGCACTATGATTGGATCTGTCCGCGCATGTCGTTGTCGTCGTCGGGTAGGCTTGAGCACAGTCCCTACCCCATGATCGTACCAAACTAACAAGCCTTGAATCTGCATGTGACCGAGTCGCCTCACAACTGGACCTATCTTTCACAGTTTTCCGCTGCAGCGGCGCTTCTAACTACTTTCGAGCCCGCCACCAATGTGTTTTTTCTATCGGCGATAGTACTACCACCATTTTTCTCATTGCATTCCGTGACGGTCGAACACAACATTTCCTACTAGGTATACTTTACTAGTACCATGGCTTTCTCGTACCATGGCTCATCCCCGTGCCTGCTCGTGTCGCTCCTGCTCCTCTCCCTCACCGTTGTGCGGGTCCACGCGCGCCACGGCCCCGAGATAGCCGTTGCGGACGCTCAGCCGCATTCCCGCAACATTCCTACCGAGGATCATGTCACAAATTCCCACCGCCGACAAGCGCAGTCACCTGAGGTACTGCTATGGTCATCAATGCTGGTACTTAGTTGCAATGCTGGGTAAAGTCGCGCGACATGTGGCGCTACTACTTGTCCAATGCTAGCACTAAGTCGCATGGTGACTCACAATCTCGTGAGCCGTTTGTGTCAAACGGCGTGAGCAATCCTGGGAATGCAAACAGCGTCGAGAACAAAAGGCATTGTGGCAATTAATTCCTATTTGGCAATGAGTACGGCCGTCAAACAGCTTCATTCCGTCTGTTTAATATTTTGTAGAACTGGGTCCTATGGATTTCGTCGAATCTGACTTTGAGCAGCTCCGACAGATTTCCGCCATTTTCTAAAGTGATGAATCACCCGTTTTTTGCCGCGTCGCCCTCACGGCGAGTCATCACGATCGCAGGTTGGAGCATCCGGAGAGCGCCAGCACGACGCCTCCGCGAGCAGCAGTCGCGAAGGGGGGACGGCCAGAACAACGGGCACGGGGAGCAATGACGGCGCGGCGGAGTCAATTGCGGAGTGGAAGCGGCGATCAGCGGAAGCGGGCGCTCACTTCTTCCCCCTGCAGCGCGCGGAAGACGCCCCCAGTAGGGACGAGCTGCACCGCCGGATTCTCGTGAGCAATGGGGGGCGGGCGGGAGGGGTGGGTGGGGGCTGTCCTCAGGAATTCGCTGCACGAGTTGTCTTGATCACGATACCACTACTACATGCTTCCCTCAACGACGCGGGACATATGGAGAAACAGTGTGGTGCACCAGCTTGCACGATATGACTTCTTCACATGGCATTTGCGTGAACATCTATACTTACCGCTGCCACTCTGTTGCTGGGTCTTATTTTCTACCCAAGTGATGCGCGCCCACGTGTCTCCTCTCATGATCTCTTCGTGCTTTCTTCCCCCCACTCACAATCTGTGACATGCGCAGATGGGGAATGGCTTGAGGGACAAAGGCGGGTCAGGCAAGGCATCGCAGGTGTGTGAGCGCACACGAGACGATGCTGCCACCACTACTTTACAGACTGATCGTGTGGTTTCAGGCAGTCGTTTGTGGAACGGTGGCAGGTGACATTTGACCGTGCTGCCTGCCATTCGCCCATTGAGAATCTGAGTTTTGACTGGGAGGGACAAGAGCTTTGTGCGACCCATTGAGCTCTGTGCGACCCATTGATCCGTTGCTTTTCAATGTGTTCCCCGGTATCTCGTTTCCTATCCGCTTGCCGTCCGCGCTGCTACCTTGTTATAACTTGCTGCCGCCAGGCGAACCTTCCATCTGCCGCTGCTATGAATCGGAGTTCCTACCTCGTTGCTTCCGGACAATGGCGTATCCTTTGCCATTGTTTCTGAGGCGTCTCAGGAATCGTCTCAGCTCACATGGGCTGTCCCACCGACCTGGTTGCTGGTCGCTTGCATGCATCGTGCGTGCGTGATGCAGAAAAAGGGCTTTCCTCTGCCGCTGATGGCGTATGACAGCACGCTGCTCGCCACGGCCAACGGCACAATGGGCAACACCATGGTCAACTACAGAACCACCCTTGATAACAACAACGAGATCCCCCTCGCGTATGCCCCGCCGTGCCCCACTCGCTGCACGCCACTCTCACTCTCGAAACACCTCTCTCTCGGTCACCCATCGACCTGTACTGTACCTCAGCCCCTCACGAAAGAGATACCCCGCCCCGCCCTTCCATCTCCCTCCTCAGTAAACTCCCCTTTCTCCCCTCGGCCCCCACCCCCCACCAGCGTGTATCCGTACTACGTGAATCTCAAGTTGGGGTCGCAGAAGCAGGTGTTCAGCATGGCGCTCAACCTCGCTGTGCCCGACACCTCTGTGCCCTGCGACTGCCTCCACTGCGGCTCCATGCCGCCCTCCGCTCACCCACCCACCCACCCGCGAGCTACGTTCCCCGGGGAGAGCGAGGGGGACAACAGGCTGGCGGTCTGGGAGTGTGGGAGAGAGATTCAGAGTGTGTTTGAAGGATTCAGTGTGACCGAGAGTGGGAGTGAGTGCGAGCGAGTGTGCAGTGCGAGCGTGAGAACTGGAGATTGTCATTGTGTGGACGGAGGGACTATTAGCCCGCCTATATCTCCTTTCATTATCTGTTCCATCTTCATCGTGCTCAGCTGGATAGAATTGATTCACATCACAACCATGGCTCATATCCTCGTCCCCAGCCCTTCTGCTTTCAACGTTCACCCCTGTTTCATCACCTTTATTCTCATCTGACTGAACCCACACGCGTCGACTTCTAACTTTCTCTCCCATTGCCTTCCCACAACGCTTGTGTGAACCCAGTCGCGATTCATTCCTGTTACCGGTACAGCACATGAATCCTGCTTCTTGCCTCACTTACCCTTTCCCTTACCGCTCCCACCCCATCTGGCATCTCTCTCCCCCTCTCCCTCCATACTGACCAAAGCAAGCCGTTCCCCTCCTTCCCCTCCCCTCGCGCCCCCTCCTCTCGCCCCGCAGACCACGACTAGCAAGCCCTTCACCATGCTCTCCTCCACAACCCTCAAGTACATCTCCTGCAGCGACCAGCGCTGCCAAACGGGCATGGACACAACGTACGGCTGCAGCACAGAAGGGTATCCCAACTACATCAACTTTACGGGCTAGCTGCCTGGGGACGACGCCCTGTGCGTGTACAGTGGATGGGCTGGACCGCTCGACTACTATGAATCTGATTTTGATGCAAACTCGTACCTTCAGTCGGTGGGGCAGGTGATGGAGGACACCGTCTACCTCACTGCACCTGACGGTACCGAAGTCAACCGCTCCATCATTCTAGGGTGAGTCTCTCCTTGGCATTGCCCATCCTCTCTCCCGTGCTTCCTCCCTCAGTATCTCTCGCCCTTCACGATATTCCCTCCGTTCTGTGCCTCACTTTCCTCTTTGCCACTCCCCATTGCCTGCCCAGCTGTGGAATGTGTCAGAGGTCCACTGGTGATCCCCGATTGATCCTAGGGAAGGGTTACAGGCACGTTGGCCTGGGGGGTTATGGGCGCACTGACCCGCTACTTAACAAGCCCTTTTATCCCAATGGTCTAGTGGTTGGGATTCTGGCAGAATGTACCAGTTAGGCCACTTGGGCATGCAGGGGTGGATGTACGGCTCGTGGTCAGCAGGAGGCGTGCTGGGGCTGGGGTGGTACAGTCCTTTCATGCAGCAACTCACTGGCCCTAATGACCCAACCACCGTGGCGCTGTGTTTGGAGGCCACGCCCACCGACGAGACGGGGTGGGATGACCAAATGCCGCTGCAGACAGGCAGCAGCCACCTCACCATCGGAGCCACCGGCCTCCCTGCCGGCGCCAGCTACGCCAAAATGTAATTCTACTATGATAACCCTGCACCTGCTCCATGTCTCCACCTACGCCCCCTCGTTCTCTCACACTCTCCTCTGCTTTCACTTCTTCTCGTGCTCCCATGTCCTCTCGTGCTCCCATGTCCTCTCGTGCTCTCAAACTCGTTCTTTCACCCCCTCTCGTGCTCTCACGTCCTCTCGTGCTCTCACAAGAGAAGCCTTCTTCCTTCTGCCCGCTCTCTACTTCACTTGTGTCTCCTCCTCCCACCCATCCATCCATCCATCCATCCATCCATCCATCCATCCATCCATCCATGCATCCATCCATCCATCCATCCATCCATCCATCCATCCATCCATCCATCCATCCATCCATCCATCCATCCATCCATCCATCCATCCATCCATCCATCCATCCATCCATCCATCCATCCATCCATCCATCCATCCATCCGTCCGTCCGTCCGTCCCCCCACCCACCCACCAACCCACCCACCCACCCACCCACCCACACCTGCTACTGCTTCTGCCTTGGCTGAGGGCGTGCTGCAGCTGTATTTGCCACTAATGCACCGGCTGCCACTGTTATTGCCTGCTGCTGCATCTTCCACTGCACTTGGTGTACCCCTGCAGGCTTTGTGCTACACACGGGGTTTCACTGAAGGCATTTAGGGGGTGTGTTGAAATGTATTTGTATACATTCATATAAATGCCTACAGTAGCCCACCAAGGCAATCTGATTATGCGTCAGGTTACAAGGCAATGGCATCAATACAAAGCAAGTTCTTTTAGACATCGAAGCTTGGAACGACCAAGCTCTTTGATGGGAAGGATTTCTACACATAAAGCTTCGAATTTGAACTCCTAGCAGAAAGCACGCAGGTCTAGATGTACTAAGACGGTTCACTACAATTCCCGGTCAACCGCTCACCTCTGTTGGGCTGAGATAAGCCCTTAGGATCTTTGCAGGGGTGAACTCTGTGACGAGAAGTGAGAATGAACTATGAAACAGTTGGGTACAAGTACTAACCCTAATTGGGTTGTACCCCTTATGGGCTACCCCACTACAGCCTACACAAATGTATAAGCTATAATGTTCTGACACACCCCCATAGGCAAAGTGGGGGAGAACAAGTGGTCACAAGACCAGTCAAGCAAAGCAAAGCAAGCTCAGGGTGGATCACAAAGTCACCACACAGTGCAAGCACAAGAGTAAGGCCACAAGGCCAGTTCACATGCAAGGTCATATATATAAAGGTAAAACAAGCAAGGGCAGGTATAGAAGGAAGACAGTACAAACAAGATCAAGAAGTGGGCAAGTGAGGCCAGGTAGGCACAAGACCTAGCACAGTACAGAAGCGCTGATGATCATAAGGCGGAAGGGCCTTGGTGAAGATATCAGCAGTGTTGGCCTCAGAGGCCACGTAGGTGAGGCGGAGCTGACCACGCTGCTGCAGCTCACGAGAGAGGAAGTAGCGGAGAGCAATGTGCTTCGTTCTGTGCTCCAGTCCGTGCTCCCGACACAAGGCCAGCATGGCCTTGTTGTCTACGTACAGAACTGGAGGAGAACGAGGCGGCTCTCCTAGGTCAGTCAGCAGGTAGGTGAGCCAGCGTAGCTCCTGTGCAGCCATGGCCCCTGCGTAGATCTCAGCCTCACAGCTGGAGCCGAGAACAGAGGACGAGCGGGTAGACCGCCACGAAACAGAGCCGGAGCCAAGGCTGAAGGTGTAACCCTGTGACGACCGCTGCGTAGCCTGGTCGTCAGCCCAAGAAGCGTCAGCGTGACCTGTGAGGACTACTCGACGTCGCCCTCCAAGCACTAGCCCCATGCCCGACGTACTGCACACGTAGCGCAAAAACCTCTTCGCTGCAGCCATGTGCTCTGGCCGGTGTCTCCCAGGAGCAACATAGCGTGCGAGAATGCTAAGAGGGTATGCAAGGTCAGGTCGTGTGCAGGTCATCAGGTACATGAGGCAGCCAACAAGCTCTGGGTACAGGCCACTCGACTCTACGGACTCATCCGAAGGCAGAGCTGAGAGCGAGTGGCGAGTAGACAGAGGAGTGGCCTGAGGCGAGGAGTACGTGAAGCCGAAGCGCTGAAGGACCTGCTGCACCATGTGTGACTGAGTCAGGGTAATGGTGCGCTGTGCTCTATCCCGGGTGATCTGCAAGCCAAGGTAGCTGCGCAGTTCACCCAGGTCTGTGCACGTGTGTCTCTTCTGCAGCTCGGACTTCACGTGGGCGAGTCCAGCAGTGTCAGCAGTGGCAAAGACCAGGTCGTCGACGTACACGAGGATGTAGAAAGGCGGCAAAGAGGTGTCGGTGCGTAGAAACTGCGACGGGCCGGCTGTAGAAGGAGCAAACCCAAGAGCCGCAAGTGTAGTCCTCAGTGTGTCGTGCCACTCACGGGGCGCCTGGCGGAGACCGTAGACTGGCCGCCGGAGGCTCCACTGGGTGCCAGGAGGAAACGACCTAGTGAAGCCAGGAGGGCGGCGCAGCCAGATCTCCTCGTGCAGGCTGCCCTGCAGGAAAGGAGTGCTGAAGTCAAGAGAGTGAAGCCCGTAGTCGCGCTGAGCGGCTATGTGCAGCAGTACCCCAAGAGTGGTCATCTTCGGGGTGGGAGAGAAGGTCTTAAAGTAGTAAACTCCCTGCCGCTGACTGAAGCCTCGAGCCACGTAACGCGCCTTGAAGACAGGTGAAGAGCCCGGCGGCCGCTTCACCCTGAAGATCCACATCCCACTGACGATGTTCGCCCCAGGTGGGGGAACCTCGTCAACGTAGGTGTCTGTGGACTTCCAGGAAGCCATCTCTGCGTCCATGGCCGACTGCCACTGAGAGGAGTAGGGACCCTCGATCGCCTCAGTGTACGATCGAGGAGTCGGGATGTCTGGTGCATCCGGGTCTCCCTCAGGGGCAATCAGCGTGGACACGAGATGGGGCAAAGCAGCCGCAAAGCACTGGAACTCCTCCTGCCTGTCCTCAAGGACGTCCGTGCTAAGAGCACACTCACCCCCGACGGACGGAGGACAGAAAGACTCAGACTCAGCAACAAGACTGGCAACGTAGTCTAGACGACAGCGAGCAGCAAAGTCGACAAGCTCAGCAACGAGAGCAGACGCAGCAGCAGACTCAAAGGAAGGGTCAGTGACGACAGTAGCAAGAAGGCACGTGATCGAAGGACTAGCAAAACGAAGGGAGTCAGACTCCGGGTCAGCAAGAGAAGGAAGAGAGGACTCTGGAGGAGACGGCAATGGGACACGCAGAGGAGTAGTGGAAGGACGCAGTGCCATCTGGTGTGTGCCGGGGACCGCTGGAGGACGCGGACGCGCAGTACGACCACTAGTGCGAGCAGCACAAACAGGTGACCCGGGACGAGACGCAGGCTCACGACGCTCAGCAAGACCTCCAGTAGGACCAGTGTAGGGAGAAGGAGCAGGTAGAGGGGAGGCGGGCGGTAACTGTGACTGCGACTGGACAGGCGGTAGACACTCTAGGGGAGGAGCAGGACCAGTAGAGGGCGGGAGACCAAGAACCTGCTCCAGGAGCGGAACGAAGTACGGCCTCGGCCGCGCAGCGCCTCTGGAACCAGCAAGTACGGCACCAGTACCCCCAGCGGCAGCACCAGTGCCAGCAGAACCTCCAGCTCTAACAGTGCCAACTCCAGTACCCTCAGAAGCACCAGCGCCAGCAGCACCGCCAGCGCCAACACCCCCAGCAGCTCCAGCTCCAGCAGCACCAACTCTGGTAGGACCGTCAGCACAAGTAGAAACACCAGCGCCAACACCCCCAGCAGCTCCAGCTCCAGCAGCACCAACCCCAGTAGGACCGTCAGCACCAGCTGCCTCAGCAGCACTCCCAGACGCACCAGCACCAGTAGAAACACCAGCGCCAACACCCCCTGACTCAGCAGCACGTCTCCAGCGGCGGGCGAACCACACGCGCAGCTCCTGTGGAGAGAGCGGCTCCCGCCTCAACGAAGTACCGCCGGCGGCCACACGAGCAGACCCAACACCCCCACGCTCCACACCCCCAGACTCAGCACCCCCAGGCTCAGCACCTCCAGTCTCAGCACCCCCAGACTCAGCACCCCCAGACCCGGCACCCGCAGACCCGGCACCCGCAGGCTCAGCACCTCTAGCAGCACCAGAGTCTACAGCTACCTCGACAGGCTCGATTGCGTCTACCTGGGACACACCTGAAGGGGCAGGACCCTGAGGAGGGAGGGGGTCTATCTGAGTAGCACCTGGCGCAAGGAAGAGCGGCAGCGGGGGGAGGGGCGCAGTGCGGTAGGGGAAGAGACGGTAGTAAGGCACCGACTCGTCAAAGGTGACGTCCTGGGAGGACAGAACACGGCGCGTGGTGGGGTGGTAAAACTGCCAGCCAGGCGCGTCAGGGGGGAAGCCAAGGAAGACGCAAGGAACAGCACGGGGGGACAGCTTGTCCGCAGACAAGTCGCGGACAAACGCCCGAGATCCCCAGACCTGAAACGCAGACGCATCGCCAACCTTCCCTATCCACCGCAAGGCGGGGGAGGTCTCTGGCAAGGAGACCCGGGGCTGAAGGTTGAGCTGATGCGCGGCGTACTAAACCGCAAACGACCACTGAAAATGGGGGGCAGCCGCATGCATCATGGACATACGCGCGACGTCCATGACCATGCCAATGCGGCGCTCAGCAATCCCATTTTGCTGTGGAGAGGCCGGAAGCGTGAAGGTCTGGCGAATGCCCTGTGCCCGACAGAAGGCTCCCAGACGGGCAGAGGAAAACTCCCCTCCTCTGTCCGAGTGCAGACGCAAAACAGGAAAGTCCGAGCCGAAACTCTCTCTGAGCTTGAGACGAGCTGCGCGGATCCAGTCGATCAACACCTCAGTGACGTCACCCTTGCTGCGCAAGGGGAAGACTGTGGTGTAACGCGAGTAGTCGTCAACGACCAGCAGAAAGTACCGCTCTCTCCCCTGCCCACTGACGCGGGCTGGGCCCCACACGTCCATGTGTAGAGTCTGCAGCGGAGCCTCTATCGGAGGAAA